TTGATTACTTTTTGATAAATAATTCGTTCTTATTGCGAAATAGGAGCACTATTTATCAATCTGTAATAAAAGACGTGAGGAAATTCTGTGTTTTTTAAAGACAAAAATTTTTGAGACAAAATTCCCAAAAAGAAGTTTGTAAAAAATATGTTGTTTTAGTTTAAAGAGGAGATGAAGTTATGTGAGTAACATCGTACTGTGGATTTAAACGCATTTCCGCAGTTTGTTCTAAGCTTTGTTGGTTATTTCAATTGAAGAAACCGCGCACTCTTTAATTAACATCTACTGCAACCGATTCAGTATGAACAAGCCAAAATCCTCAAATACTACAACTCTCGGAACCTGTTGAAAATTAATCTGTGACCGTGAAGCCCAGTGATCGTGCGAGTTAAATTGTAAAGTTATTTGTTCAACTCACGAATTTTCACGATTTTGCAAATTTCAGAAACTTCGTAGTCTAAAGAAAAAAAAATCCGTTTTTTAAATATATAATCTTCGATGAAGCACAAACATGTAAAAATCTGTTTCTCCTGTTTCGCCTATAATTCATAAACAACAATCCAACCTTCTTTTCAATATTATTCCTTATTTGTTGCGATCGCCGCTGTGTTAACCGAAAATGCTTCATCAGACTATGAAGGCCGATTAAATCACATTTAGGAATGTTTTCCGGGCTTTGAAGCCGTGGTCTATGGGAATTTCTTCCTGACGTTTCGTCCATAACTGCGGTGGACATTATCAAAGGCGATGAGGCAGTCTAAGACTGATGATCAACAACTGATGATCATGTGTCTTAGTCGGAAAGCACGGGAGATCACTTCGCCCACTGCCTCATCGCCTTTGATAATGTCCACCGCAGTTGTGGACGAAACGTCAGGAAGAAATTCCCATAGACCACGGCTTYAAAGCCCGGAAAACATTCCTAAATGTGAAAATGCYTCGTTTTCTATTTCAATCCATTCGTTTCTAATTTGGTTTCTGTTGGMAAATATTTATTTCAATAAAAACTCTTGGGCCAATTAAGTACAAATAACCAGAAACATTTTCCTTTAAAAATAGTTTAGAGRAAGGAGTGAATAAAACTGTAGCCAATAAGAATGATCAATTAAACGGTTCATCTAGGGGTTGCATTTTTAAATTAATCAAGCAATTTTTGTTGAAAACTGGTGCATATTTAGCACTTTCAAACACCGATGCCAAGCTAATCATTGAAGACCTTTTCTATAGCATAAGATGGATTTGTGTGAAATTTTGGAAAACAATTTAAATGTACATCTTCTAGATATTCAATGTGTTAATAAGGGACACACCATATCCACCAGCAAGAAAATGGCTGGCAAATGCAAAAATTGGACATTTCATCGGAAAATGTCGCATCTACGGCGTCCCGTAAGGTTTATTTCCCAATAGTGCATTTTTCAATGATTGTTCTTAAAAAACTGCCGATATGTAGTGAATATTTCTTAGAACTACATAATTACCGTCTCTCCTTGCTGAAGAACAAATCCACCATTGTTCAAGTTTTGTTGGCCTGAATTGCCTTGGATTCCCACCCAGATTGGTCCAGGTTCTTTATTGGAAATATCAAATGTTACAGCTGCATGTGTGTGAGAAACCACGAAGCCGATCAGTAGAAAGCACGCAAAATACATGTTTGTGTGTCTGCAATAAAATGTTTATGTATAAGTGAAACACACATACTTTTAAACGTATTGTTTAGCAATGTGTCTAATGGGAGGTCGTATTAGCAATAACGTTCTGTTATTGTGTTTGCTGGGAACAATTTGTCCTTCATCGACATTTGAATGTTGTTTGAACAACTAGCATTGACTAACGTTGGAGAAATCTAATGCCGTTAACTTAGCCGATTTTTGGACAAAACTTATTGCAATTGTTACTTACTTATGTGAGCTCAGAACACTAAGTTCGTTAAGCTTAAGCGCAGTCAATTTATACCGACTACAGCGTTCATATCTGTGAATTATTATGTGAATCGTGTATGCACTAATTGGTTTTTTCCATTATTACTAAGAGACTCGGCTAATTTTATCTACGTTATTCATGGCAATCATTTAACATATATAATGTGTTGAGATTATACCCATTTGCAAGGACATAATAAGGACAAAATTGTATATTTTGTAAACCTGGCCGTTTCAGCCACAAAATGATAATATTAATCACTAATATGTTCGTATACGGAGCTACACGTAAAACACTTAATATTATTACTTACTTTCAACGTTACTGATTTGATCTAAAATTACTAAAGTTAGTTAAACACGAACGCCCATGATTTTAAATGGGTTCTACTACCTATCTATTAAGTGCTATTTAATTTAACAATTATTTGTAATGGTTTGAAGCGGCAAACCAAGCTGGAAAGAGTGCAATAATACTATTATTATTCAATTGAAAATTAAATTGTTTAAAATGTGAACCAGTTTCCATACAGGTTGATCGTAATAAAGCGTACCCTCAAGTGATGGCATAAACATAATTAAAAAACTAGTAAATTGCGGATTTTCACACGTTTGAACCTGGGTTCCAGTAGTTTTTTTGGTTCCATCACTTGATTCGTCGTATGCGAAGTAAATCAGAAAATGTGAATTTTGCCCAGTTCAGGAAGAACCTTTATTTTTGACAATATCGAAAATTGTTACTAAGAAAAGTTGATTCGGGTTGAAAAGTACGTTCAGTTTCGTTATTTTTAAGTTGCGTATGAACAACTTTTTCATTATTAGTTTTAGGAAAAACACCTACTAGCAGAAAATGTTCTACATACTCAAAAATCTAAACTACAATCATCAGATATCAATTATTTTCAGTCGTGTACGAAGTTTCTCGGAAAATATGAACTTTGCCCAACAGTAAAGTTAATTCATTTTTGAAAATATCGATTATTTCTTAATTCGTTAAACATCTGATAACCTTTGCGTCCCTTCATCTCTATGTTGCATTTGTTGAATTGTTAAATAACAAAATTATGTATTTAACAAGAAGCTAATAATCTTAACTACCTGGCAAACGTGTAATAGTTTATTCACTCTTATGGGTGCATTGATAACAATTTTACAATTTTTCTAATAAAAAACGTTTTATTTTGTTTCTCTTTTGCCTCATTCACAATTCGCTCCTAATATGCAAAAGAATGTTCTCTACTTGCTTGATGATAATCCTAAAAAACAAGCATGATACAGAAGCAATATTGTCACTATAAATAAGCCACATGTTGTTACATTTTTCCATTGTTTCGTTGGGAAACATTTTCTAATTTGCATTAATTAATAAGAAAAACACCACATTTCCCTTGCAACGCCGTTTATTAAAGGAAATATATTAAATCTCAAATAGCATAATAGCATGCTGGCACGTTCTACATGCTTTTGTGACAGTGTTTTTATGAAATGTTTGTTATTAATTTTAATTAGCTGAATGCATACTTATTTTCTTGTTTGTCATTTGCATGTTGCCACTGGTGACAATGGATTTGTAGGAAAAATTGCTTGTCAACAGCAATTATTTATCATGAGGAAGTTTAATTATTTATGTTGGTTGCAGGTAAGGGAGTTTTGATGATTCAGTCTGAGTATCTGGTAAGTCATAATGGTTTATTTGATTTATTAATTCATTCAATTTCGTCTCTAAAAATCTGAATATTTTGAATTTGAAAAATGAGACTCTAGAGCTAATTTTGGAAAATAAGCTGTGTGCATGTTAAGCTGTTTGGGGATCAACCGGGTTTGTAGACAACCGTGAAATTTGGGATCGCTTTTATGTCTTGGATGGTACTTCTACTTGGAAGTACTCAAAACGTTGGCCGCTCTACTGAAAAAACGCCTACTTATCAATCCATCTTTTTCAATCTTTTTAGACTCAAATGAAACTTCAAATACTTTGTGGAATAAGCAAATTCCAAATTCTTAATGCATGCGTTCACGCATTCACTATTGACTGATCGTACATATTTATGTCGGGCAGAGTTTCCGTGTAAAAAGTGGAAACATGGAAAAAGACCCCCGGAACTGAAAAGAAACCGTTACAATGGCGGCAAAGATTTGGGGCTTGTTTTTATCAAGCGGTTTTTGCGTAAAACTTTTCCCGTGACAGTTCCATATCGCTTTCAGATTTACGATGCTGGAGTTTAAATCCTTAACATTTGCCGATCTGTGGCCACAAATCTTTCCCCTTTTGTATTAGAAACGAGCCACCTTTTTACGGGGGACTTAAAGTTGACAAATTTTATCAGCCATTCTTGTCCATGCTTGAAATTTGCTTAAACACAGCGGCTTTAGTGGGAGCACAGTTTTTCATTGAATGCTTCTGAACGCGAAATAAACGTATGAAAAATGATTTGAGTGCGCACTTTTAATATATTTTTGAAGCAATTTTTTTAATCGTTACCCAGCAATTTCCTGAAATTATATTGAGTGATTGGATAAGAATGAGAAAGTTTCTTTTTTTCGAATTAAGCTTCTAAGGAGAGTAGTGCCAAAGTTAAAAAAATTATACAAACTCGGGAAATGCAATGATTTGCAAGATATAATTATGGCTCAGTAATTTATTATGGGTCTCATGTTTTTGCGGCCGTTAAGCGGGTTTTGCAAGATTTAAATTCCTTTATAACCAAAATTTGGATGCTTAACTATTTTCTAAATTGTGCAATAATTCATAAATGTTTGGCATTTTTTTGATTCATGCTACTATGTAATTATCATGAAAATATTGACATTCAGTTGCAACTCGTGGCGATTTTAACACATTTTTACGTATGAAATATTCCAGGAAATCCCAAGTACACATTGTGACCCGTGATATCTCGATACTGTAGTATCAACATGGTGAGTTAGATGGAAATGCTTGACAAAGGCATGGGAAATCCGCACAAAGGAGTATTTTTCGGAATTTTCATAAAATCTGTAACTGGCAGGCTATTATGGAGCAATCGTGATATGCGGAGATAATTTATACAAGTAAAAACCATTCCGAACTAATAAATATACCAGACTTAATGGAATACATATTTATATGGGTTTTATCACAAAAGCGGGTTAGCTTATTACCCATTGCTTATCCAGCAAAACCGTAATTTTGCGTACAAATTCTTTCCGACGGAAAAATGCGCTTCGTACATGTGCATTAACGATAAAAATATATCACGATTTTTAATGTTAGGCACGTTCAATCCAGTTTGATCACTTTTAAATTAGTTCTCTATTTATTGAGTTTCGTACAAGCAAAATGCATTATGCTTCAGACGCAAGATCTAATCATGTGCGCAATTGACCCGAGTGCTAACAGTGAAGACGTAAAACTCTTTCAAGAATTAAGTGTATGCATTATATGAAGTCGTCCTCCTGTGTGAATTGGAGCATAAAACATCATCCATAGACCGAGTGCACAATGGGATCAAACCTGCCGATTCATTCGCTGCAAATATATACTCGACTATCTATTTGGATCATGTATAATGCAAATTGCATATAGTGCAATTTGCGCAATCTGCTTTTCCAGTCTACGTCTCCGCATTATAATGCTCATGTTCAAATCGAAAAAATGTAAGCCTTCATTTTTCGAACGATTATCGTCAAAAGTAATTTCTTGCATGAGGCGCAGCGAAATTCATTTACGGGCTTTGAAATGTGGCAGCTGTACCAGGATTTTCAACTTAGTCAAATTCATAATTAAAATAACCAGCCTTTGAGTTTTTTGTGCAACAAAAAACACATAGAAAGTCAAATACTACAAATTATTAGCACTCTGAGGGGGCCAGATGGCGTCAAATATCTTGATCAAGTGTAATGTCGTTTGTTAGGCCGCTACTTGCGGTATTGTGGCCAATCCAATCAATAGCGTCTATCGTATTAGATACACTGGTTGTCCAATCAAATTGAAGCCAATAATCACGATATGCTGGGGAGATTGATTGTTTGATCCAAAATGCTCTTCCAATGGTGCGATATTAATTTTTCGCTATTTTATCCTCAAGCGGCCGTGTGACTGCGCCAACATACATTTTTTCAGTTAAAAATTGCAAACCAAAGAAATATATTTTAATTCCAACACAGTGGGATTCGATTTTAATTGAAAAAAACTAGTATAATTTTTTTCAGTCGGAGATCGGCTGCAGTCGCATTGTTCCCGACTGAGATTAACGGCGTAACTTTTTGAAATAACAATTTAATTACAAAATGCAAGTGTGAATATGTGCACGACATTTGCATTCACCAAGGGCGGAACGGAAAAACGCCAACCAAATGCAGTTGGCCTTTGAAGATTTAAGTTAATTACCTGCCTGCTGTTACTTTCGTCTGCAATGTTAATGGCTCACTTTAATGGCTTTAGAGACCTTTATATTCTGTTAATATATTGAATAACCAAATTTACATTGAGAAAGTCGAAACAACTGGATAAAGAAAGCAGTGAACTGCATGAATTATAAAAAATTATGGTTTTATACCTAAGCAAATTCATTCCTGGGTTTCAGTCATTTATTGTCGCTATTTATCAATCAAAATACGTTTCGGTGTATTTTTCCACCATCATCAGTTTTTATGTGTAGCGTTGTTGCTGCTTTAAGCCTTGGCATGCATTT